AGTTGAGGCGATGCACCAGTCGGCGGTGGAGCGCTCCACGCGTGGTCGCGCGATCCAAGCGATCGCATCGCGAAGTATGAATGCGCTCTCAGCCAGAGTCGAACTCACTTTTTTCGGGCAAATTCTGACAGTAAACCTCATTTCATAACTTTTCTCATTACTAGCATAATTCAGGTCGCCAAAGAAACTGACCAGGAGATTCCTGAGTGGCTCGATCAAATGTGCAACCGGGATAGCTTTGCTCGTGCTGGATTTGACTCGAGGTCTACTTTCGGTGCAAAAGGTTTTGGTTCGAGTTCTGGATTCGGTGCCACTGGCTTTGGATCCGGAGGCAGTGGAGGATTTGGAACTGGAGGATTCAAAGACGGTAAGAGTTACTGTCGACTACTTGTATCCTGTTAAATTTCTTCTATTTTCGGGTCAGCATGCTTCTATTTTCGGGTCAGCATGAGGTCAGACCTAAACCACTTTGGTTTCCATGGGACTAGTTTCGGGGTCGAGTAGCAACCACAGCGTTTTATTGTGAGCTGTTCTAATGTGCGGTTTTGCAGCGGCAAAATCAGACAAACAAGGCAACGAAGATGCGAAGGAGGATAAAGAGCTTGGCTCCGCTTCGTTTGGAGATGGTGGTTTTGGAAATAACAGTGAATGCATTAGATTTTTTATTTCCGTTTGAATTTGCTAAGGCAGCGTCGGACTTCGCGACGGCAGCGCTTCGGTCGCGCGTTCGATGCGACAGTTGAAAGCATGCGAATCGATCGCGCCAAACCGACCGAGGGGTTGACGTTGCGAAGTCTGAACGCTGCCCAACTTCAAGACCTCGGAACCTTGGGGAGACTAAGTAAAAGGGGAGACTTCGTTAAACTGACAGTTGGCCTCTCCTTGTAGGCTCACTCAAGAGACAACAACAGGATATTGAGCAAAACCACTCGGTTTATTTTGTGAAAAACTGTACACTGGCATAACTGAAGAAAGAACAAATCATATGTGGGCACTTTCTTGGAGTACTATTCTAACTACCAGTCATTTACTCCGTTGACTAGAGCTCTCCACACATGCATTAGTGTGTATATAAAACTGGTGTTTCCCTCTGCATGGTGCTGTAATAATTCATGGGATAGGTTCATAAACAGAAACTCTGAACAGAGACCCCCTTAGTAGTGGGACCGGCGCCTTGGACGAGTTTGTCGGAAGGTCGGCAAGCCCAATCAGCAGGATTTGACCGCAACCAGTTCCGCAAGAGTACAGGAAATCACCCTACGACGCTCCAGGACAACGCTATGTACAAATGCAGTCCCGCTTGTAAGCCGTTGTCTTGCAAAGGGAAAGAAAATCGCAATGGTTGCAATAGTCAGCGTCTCTAGCTTCTTCGTCTTACCATTTCGAGTGGCGAAAGTGTTATATTCTCTGCGATTGCGGACAATAATGCCAAGTGCACGGAGGCATTTTGCGGACCTTTTTATCGCAGGAACTGTCTTTAGAGGCACGGTCCGCGATCAGGTATAGATGCGTTGGGAGGGTAATATGGTCCGCGACGAACAATCCTGTACCGGTTTCGCGGCAAAAAAAATTGTAAGGGAGGGGCGCTATAACGCAAAATAGGTTCAGTGACGCCTCCTTTTTCCAGTGACTCCGCCTCCAAGGCCCGCCTTTCAGTGAAAACGAAGCTGCAGGACGAAAGCACCAAAGGCGTCACTCGTACGGTCGTAGAGTTCTTACTGGGGAATCATCTGTGCAGATGAGGGCGTAGGGTTGGAGACAGAGTTCATTGGGCACGTACAAACCGGGATTGAAAGGGGTTCTATCTGGGACCTTTGGCATGTTTTTTTCCTTTCTTCTTCACTATCGAGTTACTCAGACCTGTCATCTGTTGGATTACCCTAATGCCACTATCTTGTGATGGCGAATGATAGCGGGTTAAGCCCCTAAGATTGGACCGAGACCTTACAACATACAAAGCCTTGCACCGGGTGCCTACTTGTGTCCAGTGAGCAGCTACTACACGCGAAAGTCGTTCGAACAAGGGAAATCAATGGGCCCCTAGTTGAACTCAAAATGGCGTGCAATGTAGCGTTTTCAACGGCGAAACTGAAATTTCCTGGTTTTTCAAAGCAGTTCTAAACTCTTAAGGTGCACCTCTTCAGACTATACACTGTGGAAAGCTTTCGAAATCTAATCTATTGACTGAACACAAAAAATCAAAAGAAACCACTCACTTTTGTAAAATCATCAGTCTATCTTAATTACTTGAACATTTATTGAAGTTGAACTCTCCATGGAACCAATCACCTTGTATTGTACCACAGAAGATTCTTCATCAGACAGTATAGAACGCACAGGCCAAAACTGATCATGAAACTCAAGGCATTTATTGAGCTAACAATGTTGGTGAGAGGTCAGCAGAGCAGTCAGTTGAGGGAGGTCTTCCCACACCCGTGTATGGAGAAGTGCTAGGTGAAGTGAACCTAAGGCAGCGTTCAGACTTCGCGACGGCAGCGCTTCGGTCGCGCGTTGGACGCGATCGATGCGCATGCTTTCGACTGCATCGATCGCGTCGAACGCGCGACCGAAGCGCTGCCGTCGCGAAGTCTGAACGGTGCTTAACTAAAGCGGCACTTCCTTTGGCGCTAGATTGGTGCTGGCGGCGATTTCGCATCACCGTGTTCCTCACAGAACTTATGAACATATACACTTATATTTGCAGGTAATCGAAAATCCTGGTCACGCCTTTAGGGCTGATTTCAGGCACGGGTGCCAAAATGAATGTCGCACGCGGGGTTGGGACTTTCGACTACACTCGAGTGTAACTTTGTGGCGACTTTGGTGGAAAACCTGTTAGCGTTAGATTGGCGCCCTGGCCGCTGTAGCGCTAATTGGATGCCATATTCATAGTCAGAATGCTAGGGCTGCAATTTCAGAAGTTTTTGAGATTTTGTGCCACAGGAATAGTGACTGCACATAGTATACTCGAAATCCCTGAGATCGGGTAGGCGTGGCTGCGTACTTGATTTTAAAATGGCGGCGGCCCAGGTTTTCGTGAGATATTTTCATTTTGGAGCAGTCGTAATCATGTCTACATCTAACACAGAACAAGATAGCAGTTGTTCAAATTGAAGTATCCCACGAGTAACCCGTCCTATGCCATGCTCAAAAGCCACGCCTACCCCGTCTCATTGATAAGTAGTATATTTACAGCGATGATCCTTTGAAATGAAAGGGCGTGTGACGCGGCGTGTTTGGAACGTAGCCAGGGCGGCCTTTTTCCAACAGTGATGTCATCCTGGGCCCGTCGCAACTGGTGAGGAATCTGTCCTGGTTGCGTCTCAAGTCACGTCCCTATGCCCCTACACGCCTTATCGTTTGCAGAGATCATGTGGGTTCGCTGATGAAAGAACTTTCACTTGTTTTTTTATGGCAAAGGTAAGGGGGGTTGAGGGCAGACGGCAGCGCGAGGGTCACTGTCTCACTTCGTTTCTGTTTTAGTGTCTTGCCAAGTCTCCTCGAAGTCCTAGAATGGATATACACGTCAGCTTCCTGTTCGGCGGCGCGGACAAGCAAAGGTTACGTCGCGTGTCGGTCGAGTGGCACCAGCCAACTACCTTCTTCCTTTTTTTGGTAGCTCTTCGAGCGCTGCCGTACATAGGGAGGGGTTTGCAGTAGCGCCATTAAATCTGCTTGGCTACGCGCAAGACAGCGATCTCTCCATGGTTAAATATAGACAGGAGCGTTCAGACTTCGCAGTGACGCGTGTCAACGCCCTCCAATTACAACAGCGCTCCAGTGCTATAGACGGACGCAGTCGCAGGCGCTAACCGATCAGCGCCGACCGCTTGTGTTTTGACAGAATATGAGGGAGAGGAGGGCCGCTGTCTAATGAGTGTACAAGAATAGGAGAGTACCAGGTTGTGTGAAAGCACCACCCCTCTTGCTATCCTATCGCACTCAGGTCAGAGCACAGCGAGCGGCGCCAATCGTTCCCGTCTGCGGCTGGCACTCGCTCCCAAAGAGTTGGAGCGCCCTTGCAGCGGTAGCGCGTCGACGCGCGTCAACGCGAACTCTGAACCGCCCTAGAGACTGCAGGCTACTAAGACGGGTGCTGTAATAACGCTGCGTCCTCCCCCCTCCCACATGACAATGGTCCCGCCTTTCGACTTGAGTTTTGCGATGTGTTTCGATGATTTTCAAATGTGGAAATTTTGTTTATTTTTATCTATCAATGTTACAGAGAAAACCGAGGACCAGAACTCGGAAGATGGATCGTACTGATGTTTTTGAAATGTCTGTAGACTCAGAATCTGTTTTTTTTGTGACATTTTGTTCATGTTGTTCACTTTTTAGATACCACCGGTTATAGGCAAAACGAGTGTTGTTGACGTTATGAAACGTAATTCACCGGTCACTTTGTATTTTTTTCCTGATTTTTATAGTTATGTAGATTTACGCATATCCCTATGAAATGATGAAGTTGAAGATGTTTTTTTTGAAGTTCCTAGATGCTTTTCTGTAGTTAGCGAAGTAATTGTTATCCACCGGTTTTGAACCTCAGCGCCGCGCTTTACTGTCGATTCTGTTCTACCCATTCCTCTTTGGTTCAAATCCCTTGCCTCAGCAAGGTCATAGTGGCACGTCTAGCACATTTTTGGCTTTAGGACCAACATTCTCAATGGCTCCTCTGCTTACTTGCAAATCTCAACGTTGCGCTGAGGCTTGACCATGCAGTAGTTTGCTTTGGGGATCTTATTGTAGTACGCGGTCTGATTCATTATTCCCCTTGTTATCTGGAGAATATTCATGTATTCCCTTGCTATCAATAAATGCAGTTTTTATGCTTGTTTATTTGAATCCGAGTACAACAACATCTGCAGTTTGGAAAAACGTTCAGACTTCGCGATGACACGCGTCGACACGCTGAAACGCTCTGTAACACCGGTGCGCTACCACCGCAATGGCGCTCCAGTGTATAGACGTGGGCAGCCGCAGACAGGTATCGATCGGCGCCTGCCACTTGTGCTTCGGAAGAGCATGGAAAAATAGGAGGGTGCCAGACTGTGAAGATAACGCGCACCCTCCTGTTATCCTATACTCCCCTATAGTACGAGCGGTCGGGTGCCAATCAATATCTGCCTGTGGCTTCGTCCCGCCTAGCACTAGAGCGCCATCACCTGGTAGCGCGTCGACGCCTGTCATCGCAAAGTCTGAACGGTTCCTGCACTAGCTGCCCTTCAGTAAAGGAACAGATATGCTGTGCTTAACAGAACATACCGCGATAAATCGATAGGAGTAGACTGAGAGCCACGGTGTCTTCAACATTGATGTGCCCATCTTTAGGGTGAAGGAGCAGTACCCCAATAAGGTAGGTAAAGTGGTGCTTTGTTCCCGCCTATCCAGCTATCGCGGAATGTGCCTCAAGGGATGTAATGCTGACATACTGCTTAGGCAGCGTTCATACTGCGCGACGGCAGCGCCTCGGTCGCGCGTCCGCGCAAGTCGATGCCACGCTTTCGATCTGCGTCGACGCGCGACCCAAGCTCTGCCGTCCGGCCAAGTTCTAAAGGGGGGGGGGGGGGGGGGGGGGGGGGGGGGGGGGGCCTGGGCTTACCAATTGATCCCTTGGGCGATCCTCTCCAGTTCGCGGTCCGCAGTGTAACGACCAAAGTTTCCTGAATTTATGCCTAGTCAGAATCATCTTAAAGTCGCACACAACTGAAGGATTCTGGCTATTTTGTCAAACATATGGTTCCAGTTGCTCTCTCGTTTCTCTTTGTGTAAGGGAGCGGCAAGGGCACGCCATCCGCGTTGTGATCATTTTAAACCGAAAAACTAGACCCGCTAATCAATAACTAAAATATACCCCCCCAGGCCCTCTGTCCTTCCTCATCGATTCGAACCGTCGAGCGGGGGAAAACTAGTTTTCCCAAAAATTTCTGCTGTCGAGCGGGGGGGAGGAGGTCGTCAGAATTAAACTACCATTTTCAAGTGTCGGAAATAGTAGTGCGTCCATGAACTGACCAAATACGACCCCCCTCCCAAAAATGACCAGGTACGACCCCCCGCCCTTTACAGCGAAACCAAGAAGAAATACTATACAAAAAAAAATTTTCGTCGACCAAAATACGACCCCGCCCATCCCGCGTCCAAATTCCGCTCCCCCTTCTGATGATCACAACGATGGCGTACCCTGGGGAGGGGGCTGCCCTTCGCTTTTGTCTCCACCAGTTTCCTCGTTTGTCATAGCGCATCTTTGGAAGTATGCCTTGGCGCACAGCCAGATCACATTTTTCTATCGGCTGCATCGGGCTCAGGACGGTACCGAAAAAGGGACCCTGTGACTGCACTAGAATCCACGACGCTCAAAAAGTCCCATTGTTTGCACGGTCTTGCCAGCTGTAATCTACCAGGCCGGTAATGCATACGCCTACTAAGGCGCATTGCACATACGCTTCAACGTTCAGGGTGTTGTTTGGAGGCTACGTAGTGGCGAAGCGGTACAAACTAGCTAGTTCAAGAGACATCCGTGATTTCCATGGGTGGAGCCGGGAAATGACTTCGCTATAGAGAGCGAGAAGTGGACAAGCGCGCCAATAATGTCATTCGTTGGCTCCACCCACCCAGCAATCCCAGGCGATCTGTCAAGAACCTAGCTTCAACTGGGGCTGACGCGCCTGACTCCGACTGCAAGACCGTGACCTACATCTTGGCCGACGCCCTCTCTACAAAGTACTTCATGGATATCCTTTACATGAGCGACCTCGCTAAGAGCCCCCAGTCCTGCTCTTGCGCACTGCGAAATGTAGGCATCAGTCTGCGCTTAGTAGCAGGCTTCAGATTTTTTTCCTCGGCTTCATTTGACGTTTGTCCTATACTCAGTCAGGCAATTCCAAAAGCAAGTGGCGCGTTGAATCGCCGAAATCGCCATAGACCATTGCGCGCTCCTTACTAGCCAGCTCCTCTCCTCCAACACGGAAAGCATCAGTGATTAGAGCGATTTAACTTCATTGACTCCGCCCACATGTCTATCGTGTGCGATTATGAATGCATTATGATTTGTCACACATATCTGTTGACAGAGACCTTAAAGGTTTATTGCACACCCCTGGAAACCCGCTCAGAACACTCAAGCACTTCAACTAATGCATGTATTGCGAAGAATGAAGAGAAACAGTAATAAGTGACATTAACAGGAAATGTAATCAGTTACTACTGACAGTTAAATGCTCAATGATACGAGCAGCCTCTCTTTCTCCGGACTCGTAGGCGCCAATCGTCGTCTGGTACATCGTTGTATGAGTGTGCTCTCCAGCAAAGCAGACCACAGGCCTGAAAGGGTTGAAATTTTAAACACCGTGCTGAAGTGCATATATGTGGGAGCCATCTGTTATCGTAGCACTGACAACCTTTGGAGCCCGGGTATGTGACAAGAGAATCGTAATTCGCCGCGCTGAGGGCGTCGCGTGCGACGTCGCGCCCGCAAATGACGATGGTTCCAGGTCGTAGATGGCGACAACAGGCAATGTAGAACCGAAAATAGTCATAAATGTCTACAGTTTCGTAGCCCACGTGAAATCCGGTGCTCCAATCGACAGGCTAACACGAGTTAAGAAACGCCGCGCCCGTCGCCGCGCGCGGCGGAGCGACAAATTACGATTCTCTTGCCCGTCTTCCTTGGAGCCAGGGATCTGGAAGCTTGGAGCTCTCACGTTTCAATTCATCGCACACTATGGGTATTCGCATCCTCAGGAATGAGAAAGGAGGTTGCTCCGGTCAGTTGTGGTTGCGCCAAGAATTCTATCTGCATTCAGAATACTGGCTTTTGATGATATTCCGCCTATATAAAGACATACAGCGGCCGGCCGATGTAGCATCCACCGCTTTACTCTCCCAATCTCTCTCTCTCTGTCTGATACGGTGGAAATCTTTGAAAGGAAGGGAAGATCAGCTTATCCAGGCGAAAGCCGTGCAAGATTTGGCTCCTACCCTGCGTGTTTTTAGCATGCCCGACTTGTCGCTAAATTAAAGACGTCCATCAGGGATCTGTTCTATTCAAAGAGAGCGGTTTCGTTGGTTGCAGGGCATGTCGGACGTTAGAGGTAGATCGTGATAGTCGCCGCTTGAAGGAGTCGTAGTTGCGCTGAGAAAAATGTTTTTGACTGCTGACTTTTCTCGGTTTTTCCGGTTTCGGGTTCGCTACATATCCTCTCCGCCCTTCTCGCCTCCTTCGCTCGATGGTAGGTAGGACGCAGGATCTGGAAGTCTCCACCAATAGCACCTTTGGCTCAGTCCAGCGCATCCACTGTCTTTAGAAAATTATTAGAAAGTAGTAATTATCATAAAAATTATTAGAAAGCATACTTGTTGTCGATGACTATTGGTTCGGCCATTCTTGCGAACGCGTCAGGCACGTATCTCACCGATTCAGGTGTCAGATATGAATAGCTGCCTCCAACCAGTGGATCCGTAATCCAGCTATGCCTATAAGAACACAAAATACAATAGATTTAAAATTTGTGCCGTCCCTACTCGACTCTTACATTTTTGTCCGCACTGCGAGCCAAGAAATCCGAGTTGCCGAGTTGCGTTGTAGTGCGGAATGTGCAGTCGTTTTCGCTGTAATACACGGGCGCTGCCAAGGGATGCACTGGATTTGGTGGCGGTCGCGGTCCAAATAATTGCTGTCCGCTTGCACGCTTTCAATAACTGCTAGACCAACTGGCTGGCGTCGCGGCGAGACCCATGTGACAGCCCTTGAAGGCGCTCCGCTCTGCAGCGGAAACAGCTGTGCACTCCATAACTGAGACAAACTATGGGCGTCATCAAATCCAACAAAGGCTGCAGGTATTCTCAGCTCTGTCCTACTACAAATTTGTCTCTTCACTCTTCCGTTTTGACCCCGCAGCCAGCAGCAACGCCGCATTTGTTTGCGCAGCTATTGCGCGCTTGCACATTGTTATCCATCGAAGGAGAGGGCGTGCTGTGCTCCAATAAGACGGAGCGGCTGGCTGAGCTTCAGGGTGAAACGCTTTGTGTTCCAAGGCAGCTGCACCTCAATGTAAAATTTGCCCGCTACAACTATACAGATGAAGACTATCTCAAACGGAGTCCCATAATAAAACCCACATCACTCCTTTCGTTATTTGCTAGTGAAGTACGCAGGGCCAACGCCCCTCTCCATCTCCGGCAACTCGAAGCTCCTGATCTGCACCCCCTGGACCATATTTATGCGAAATCGTACCTGAATATCCTCACTGGTAGAGGTATTGTTGGATCTCCTAGTGCCTCTCGTAAATGATTTCGTGAGACCTTCCACTAGTTCCTCGTCGCTCAGTTTGCTGATCAGACCAGGTCCTTTACCGGATACCCAAGCTACTAGTATCTGAATTTCGAGTATACTGATTTCTGACGTCCTTAGGCGGCCTTGAAACATAAGGCACCGTCTACCCTGATTAGCGGCGGCGAAAAAAATACATTGGCATCTTTGCTGTATACGCAGCAGCGCTGTAAGGCGACGGGGGGATTTTGCACTTCGGTTGCTTCACTAGTTCCGGTTTACAAGTCTCACTCTGGTGAAACCTGTGAACTCTTGTGAAGCTGGAGCAAGCTCGTCAAGCCATCATGGTAAACCTGTCAACTCGAGAAGAGGCTGTCTAGATGGGTCGACACGTCGATGGGAAGTAGCAAAAGTGCAACATGCCCCCGCCGAGCTGCGCCGGTATGCCCTCCTTTTCCGGCGAAATAGTGGGGCGGGGTGTGTGGCAATGAAGAGCACCCCCCCCCTATTTCGTCCCCTACAGGGCTAAGCTGTCTCCGCCCACACAATCAGCGTCTTCCCTCAACATGTACCATGATGCAACGCTCACCTTTTTGTTCCAGTACAAGGGCTGCAACATAGGAAATGATTCTGCTAACGGGCTGTGCGATTCCAACGGTGCGATTGCATTGGCGTCTTGAGGCCACCACGGCTTCGTGTATTCCAGAAACACTTTCATCATGTTACCAAACCCTGAAAGGGTTGTTGGAATTTAATTCACTTACACTTCACTGTTTTGGGAGTCAAAAGCAATTAGAGTGAGGAGAGAGAGAGTTCTGCCACAGATGAAATTCTGAAACTTCAAGAACGTCCACTCTACTGAACTTAGTGTGAGTTGATCCACAGACGGTTGATGAACCCAGATATAAGCTGCCACACTCTGAGCACTCTGTCTACGGGCTTCTCTGAACAAACTCCCTTCATCGGCAAGCCGAATACAGCCCTGGTTAAGGGCCCCTCTGTCTTCTTCAGCCTGCCTCCCTTTCCTCGTCTTCAACGCAAAATAGGAGAAATATATTATCCCTCAAATTGTGAAATGTTCGAATGGCGAGAGCCATTAACCGATAAAACCGACAACTCCCGAACGCCATGAAATATATGGTACACTTGAAACGGCAAAAAATAAAAACTTCTTTGCTTCCCGAAATTCCCGCACCCTTTCTCACTCCCTGCCGACGAATTCCCCACATTCCCTACAAGCGGATCCCAGCATCCATTCTCATTCCTCCTTTCTCCATAGCGGCTAAAAGCTGCGACCCTCGCCACCTTTATCACGAAGAGTCCCCCATAGAGTATGTGGGAACTACATCCACACTGCTATCTAGCTATCAGGCAACCAGGAAAGTTCGTGCGGTTTTGAAGGTAGCGAAATAAGGATAGCCGAATAAAATAAAACCGGCTGCTCCGGATTAAATTTAGATGATTGTTGCCGCAAAAATATATATTAACATTCAGCTAAGGATAAACACTGTTTCACATCTATAGACACAATGGAGCATATATTCGCATTTTTGTTGGAATACCTACTTCCTTTGGAGAAATTAACCAGACAATGCTTCAGGCTTCGCATTAGTCCAAAGCACTTAATTTTCAATTCGCGTTTTCTACATGTTGGTATGTCCAAGGCCAAAACAAATAGATAGTCGCGACTATTAGGAGCAAGAGTCATGGCCGAGTACGGGGTGATGGTAAAATTTCCCAGATACTAATTTCGACGCCTATTGTTTTCAGTGGGTGATTTATGCAGTCGCGATAGTCTATGCTATTGTCCTGGAGAACCACACCTTTTCTGTTCGCCTTGATTGAAAGTAATCTAAATTAACAAATACACTGAATGACACTCCTTGACATATGTCTTCGCATGTATTCAAAGTTAATTCTGCCTCACCCTCCGTACAAAGTTACCCTACCACTAGATCCAGTTTACGGAATATACTCCATGAAAGCAGACAGTTACAAAAAACCGCACGAACCTAATTGGTTGCCTGATAGTTGACTCGATATGAAGCAGTCCTTCCAGCCATAATTAATTAGTTTCTGGCGGGAGTGATGCTTCCTCCACCACAGCATGAATTTTACATGCCCCTCACCCATCCCCCATATTACCTCTGCCAATGGGTCGGCCCATAAAATCCCTTTACAGCGCTCTTCCTTCGGTCCTCCTTCTTCAAAGCAAAAGCATATATAGGGACGGAAAGCTTTGTTGGGACCTTGAACGAGAGACCGGACATGAGCAGCATTTCCTTTTTATGAGGTCCATGACGTTATTATACGAAAATACTCACCAAGGCTAGAAATCGCTTCAGTTTTCCGTGGGTCAAGAGGGGGGCAGAAAAACGAAGTGTGATTCCTCTTCAGGTAGCCCAGCGAGCAGGTAACAATCACATAATCATACTGATGCTCTTCACCATTAGAGAAGCACAACGTCGCTCCATCTTCTGAAGAGCACACATTGCATGGTTAATAGTGCTGACCTCAGGCTCAGGCTTACCTGAGTATGTAATTTTTGTAACCACATGGTTCAAATTGATTCGATCTTCAGGTACTTTTACTTTTATGTCTTCGAGAATATCGCGGAATCCTTTCTTTTTCAGCGTGAACGACCGCGGTTCGCTTCCGCCATCGTCCCAATCGGCAAAATTGAGAAGGGCGAGCTGAAAGGAACAGTTAACATTGCTGAAATCATGGACAGGAACTGCCGAATATACCGACCAGTGTGTGTTACGGTGATGAACTGGCGGGTCCCAAGGCCTCTACCCACCAGTGACTAGGGAAGGACGACCTTCTAGAAATCAAAAGAGAGACTTCATACATAGTACTGTTCGCTGCGGACTATGGGGCGTTTCAGGTGGGGCCGTGTTTGGCGCGATTCCAGCTAGTTTTTCACTAACTGAGGG